TACTAATCCTAAAGAACAACAAGAAATTCTTAGGTTAATAAAATATTAATCTTGTAAATACAAAATCAGGTTGGTTTTGGCATTTATGATAAATGAACCGTGAATTTTCTAATCGAGCCCAGTCTGGTTTGGGCATTGGGCAAATACCAAAAACCGGTTTTACCAGGAAGAAAGTCCGTCTTTGCCAGGGCTGCAGCTACCCACCGCGCCGTTAGTACGGATGTCACCGACACCGTTCTCTCTCTCTCTCGCGCGCGCATTTCTGAGGCCAACTCAATTCAAATTTATCATTCCTCAGCAAGGCTTCAGTGTTCGCACCTCGTAAGCTCCTGACCAAAGCGTTTTCGCTGGATTACCGACAATGCTGCACGAACTGTTACTGGTAGACACTCTTGGGCTGCACCGGCGATCTCATAATCGACGACAGGGATCACCAGAAATCCCTCGTCATACAGTTATCTCCGACGAATGCACCGTCAAGCTCGCTTCCGATATCTCCTTCATCGAGCCTACCGAGAGGTAGGTGCTTCTTCTCTCTTTTTTTTAAGGGTTTTTGGATTTAGCCTTCCATTTCCATGATTACATCAAAGGCGATGATTCGAATCAAAATTCATCGCTTCAGGGATCTCATCCAGACGCTAGTTTCCTTGGGATTTTACTACTGAGAGCTCGATTGGTTTGCAACAAAGTCCAGGAATTTACCAATTCTTGTTGATAGACTTAGAAATCTTCAATTTTTCATACAGGTCCTCCTTGACGCTAAATTACTAGATTCAAGAAATTATCCAAACCTCTTTCTATAAGAAAATGTTTTTTTTTCTCAGTCATTGATGATGTCTACTCTTTTACTTTTTTTGTTTTCGGTACTAACCCTCACTATCAGTAAGCTACATTGTCCCTGACTAATACGAAGTTGAGCTGCATTGATCCCATAAGAGATGCTCTCTCGGCGCATGTTTTTCCATTCACAAGACTTAAACTCAAGAGAACCGAGTTCCTTCCATTTGAATCAACCTTCCACTTGAACTAACAAGCTATTGGTTGTATTCTTTCCCTCTATGTTGCTTGATTTCCCAGTTAAAGAAATCTTATCTTTCAGTTTTAGGTTGATGTGATAGAATCTCAACGGAACATCTTGCAATCTCATATTCAAGATTCACATAGACTTCACTGAATTTGTAAACTTCCACCAAAAATAGAATAAGCATCTTGCTTCGGTTCTATTATGAGCAGTATTAGTTCAATTTGTCTAATGTTATTTTGCTCGTTAATTCACACAAAATCATCACTAAAAGATAATTATTAGGAACTTGTTACTTGCATGCATCTTGTTATCCTTAATGCAGAAGCTTACATGTTTGTAATATTTACATTATCAGCTTTAATTTCAAAGTCTTTCTTGGACATTGGCTCTGTATCAAGGATATTGGACAGGTATAATCAAACTTTGCCTGCAGTTCTGCTGGAAATTTGAGAATCAAGAAAGTAGCCAAAATACAACTGAACTAGAACACATAACTGAGGTACTCATATCAAACAGCATTTTTCCTTTATAGACTCACATTGTTGATGTCAATTTTGTTGCCATACAACCAAACTAGAACCCATAACAGAAATCATACTTGGTATCAGATTGGCTGGCCCAATCCTCTGAGTGGCATGTCCAGCTTTTCAGGTTTCTGGTGATAATTGGTATCACTTCTACACTTTCCATATTGGAAAATGTTATTGAAGTACAAATTGATAATTCTACCTTTGATTTTCCAAGCATCATTTGAAGCTTGTGATTTATTGCTTCTCTCTATTGAACACCATGCAGATGCAGAGATGCAAGTGCTCATCCTAGGAGAGATTCATTTTTTGATTTTGACTTCTCACTGGACAAAAGGGAAAGTTTTCAATTCACAGGGATTGGAAATTTTTCGGAGTTTTATTTACTGGTATCGTCCGTATCATGTAATCAGAAACCCAAAATTCCTGGAACAAAACTAACTAGATAATGAAAATGGCAGGATGACTGCTGTAACAGTTTGTGACTAAATTGACTGGTTTGCCATTCTTTGCTATTTCGATCACGTGACTTACCTTCCAATATTTGTTGCATGGTTAGACTTATCTCTTTATTAAGCAGTATATTGCCATGTGTTCAAAGGATCTTTCTTTTACTTTTCTCAGGAATTGAACAAGAAATCAAACTCCTTATACACAACGTTACGCAACAGCCGGCTTGCTGGGTGTTGGCGAGCTCCATTTCTGAGGCGTTTTCGCTTGCGTCTGAACTTCAATTCATTCTTTGAGGTGTAATCTCTTGCCTATTACAGGATTCTCTACACAATCTAACCACGCCCCTTTTTCTAACATGCTGTTTTCCTCTCTCAACAGGCCACCACTAGAGTTGTACCGAATGTTGTTAGGCCACGTCCATCACTTCAAGATATGAATCAGCAACAGCATTTAATTAACCAAGTGGTGAAGTTGCTCGTCCGATGTGACTGAGTGTTGCTGGAGTCTCAAGTTTCCTAACAACCATCCCCATTTTGACAGTTAGATGGATTGTTTAAATAGTCTGCTAAATGTTCATGGCTTGTTTTCAGCTTTGGTTAATACCCGTTGATTAGATGGTTACAAATTAGCTGCCCTAAAGTCTACTCTGTGTGTCTATTTGACCGTCCGGTAACTACCCCATACCCATGTGAAAGGTGGATGGTTATGGTATCCTCGGTAGCTGCAGTCTCGTCCTAGATGCAGCAAACCTATGATGTGCACCGGTTAGAGCATTTTTTATTTTTATTTTTTGTAAATACATATTCAATTAAGGCGGAACCCTCAAATCACCCCTGACAAATATGAGTAGGGACGGATCTATCCCTCAAAAAAAAGCAAGGATAAATTACACCCTAAAAGTATCGTTTTACTCAAATCGATCATTATCTAACAGATTACGTCATCACCGTCACAATCTCCGTTTAGCCTGTGCCACCGTGTCGTTTTTTCACACGCTGGATGCTGATGTGTACCAATCCCGCCGTTTCAGAGCAATGGAGCATGGAATATCAGTCATTTGTGCTGCAGGGAATAATGGCCCAATTCAAAGCTCAGTAGCAAATTGTTTGTCTTCCCCTTTGTATGTTACGGCGATCATTGGTTTGTCTCCAGCACCGGCGACCACCTTGAACGGCCACAACTTCATGTCACTCTGTACAGAAGGGTCACTGAATCTCCTCCCAATCAACCTCTTTGCATCTAATACAGAAAATAAATGCAGTCACCAAAATTAATTGAGCCTAAATCATATTTCTTTTTTTAAATGATGAAACACCAAATCTAATTTAAAATCCCCAATTCCCAAATTTACGTTCCAGGAGAAACCCACCGAAGACAGTGTTGGTAGGGTTCATGGCGACCTGGTTCTTGGCGGCGTCGCCGATCAAGCGCTCGGTATCAGTGAAGGCCACGTACGATGGCGTCGTCCTGTTGCCCTGATCATTCGCTACGATTTCCACACGGTCGTGCTGCCAGACGCCGACGCAAGAGTAGGTTGTTCCGAGATCGATTCCGATAGCAGGACCTTCACCTTCTCCGGCCATTGTAAACCCGACAGTAGAGAAATGAGACGACGAACAAACAAGGAAAGCTTTGGAGAGAAATTAAGAAGAGTTGCAGAGAGATGGGAAGAAAGTGAGAGTGGTGACGAATATATATCGGATTTTGTGGAAGGGGCTCATATTTTGTTGGAGAACGTAATAGCCGGAGACTATTACGTTTTCAAGCAGGGTACAAGAAGGAAGATGATCACG